CGCATCACGCGAGAAGAGCAAGGTATGGCTTGGCGCCTGGGCGGCATTGTGAGACGGCGGCAGCTCATCGGAGCAGGGAGGTCGGGGGACGCACACCAAAGATCACCAGGCTCCACTCGCCCATTAGGCGCCGAATGGGGGCGGACAGGCGACTGGCCACCAGCTGGGAGAATTCCCCGGAGGGGATGTCATATTCGCGCGAATGGAGCGCCTCCAGTTCGCTATTAAGGTGACAGATCGCGGGCGCCTCGCTACCATCGACTCCTGGTGGGCCATATAGCCGCCCGGCGAGGGCGATGAAGCTGCCAGTGTCGACTCCCTCGGCACTGGGTGAATGGAGGGGGAATACACCGCCAGAGGCTGGGCCGCCGGCGAAGCACACATCCAGCTGCCAGTGCCGCCCAGACGCCTCGACTCCAGGTGTCGTGCACACCCCGCGACGAGTGTGGCAGCTTGGGGGATGGGCGCCAGCGCGTTGCTGGAGCGAGGGTGCCAGCGGTGTGGCTTTCAACAGGAGCTCCTCATCGTGGGGAAGCGGATCCGGAAGATGGCGGACCCGCACTGACAGCGCAGAAGACATGGAGCGTATCCCAGGAGAGACAGGGGAGGGGGAGAGCGGGGAGAGGAGAAGGGGGAGAGGAGAAGGGGGAGAGGACCAGGGAAGGGCGAATGGCTGAAGCCCTTCCGTAATGGGCAGCCCAGCCTCATGCCCCCCCAAAGGAGGCCAGTTGGCGGTGGGGGGGGGGGGGGGGGGGCACACGTCTGAACTCGGGGGGGGTGGTGGCGCGGCAGGCGTTGTTCTGGGGCCTTCTCGTGGCGTCCCCCCTGGAGCGGGTGGGGGACCCGGGAGCAATGTCGCCTTCCAATATTGGGCTCTGGGGGGGGGGGGGGGGGCGGACAGATCGGGCATCAGCACGTGGGGTTAGATCCTGGCCGAGGGCCAGCCAATTGCCAGCGCAAGCATCGCACCCGCAGGACATGAGTCCGGGGACACACACACACACACACACACACGCACACACATGGGCTCTCCGGGCGGCGATCTACACTCTTGAAGATCCACCACGCGACCTTGATGGCTCCGCCTCTGGCCAATCGCCTGTATCCCCCTGTCCGCGTCTCTGCCTCCGTCCCAGCTCCTGCTGTTGCCCTCCCATGCTGTCTGCTTGCGCCCGTGCCGCTTCGCGCGCGCCCTCCATGCTCTCCCGGATGGCCCCTACCGCCACTGGTCGCCACCTCCACCTTTCAAGCATCGTGCGAACACTCTATCCCACCCTCCCTGCCC